AGAGTGCGCACTAGTACGGGTTCGCCCTATTATTGGGCTCCACATCCTATTGCAATTGTGCGTTTGCACTCCATAAGTAAAATGCAGGTAAAATGGAGCAAAAATGGAACACATCTCCGACCTCACTCCCTTCCCTCCCCATCGTCCTTTCCATCTGGTGCATTTTGGAGGAAAGGTAACTAGGTGACGTGCATGGAATGCATGGACGGGGAGGCAGTAGAGGGAGCCTCTTGCCTCCGTGTTGTGTCGCAAGAGGAAGGAATGCCACGCCTCGACTTACAGAGGAGCAAGAATCACCTCTTTCACTCTCGTTGCAAATAAAAACACTTCTCATACTTTGACATTACGTAATGTAATTCCAGTTTTAATGAGAAGGGAGCCGACGTGACTATTCTTCTAGTATGCATTCGGATTATTCTTTTTTGTTTATTTTCTCCTCTCATTATTTCAGGTTTTCAAACTGTTACACTTGGCTCGATTCTTTTTTTTAGTTGCCCGTTTATTTTCTCGTTCCGATGTGTTTATACGGGACATTGCCCTCGTTGGATGTATTCGTTGATGCCGGTGTTTTTCCAGGATATCGCAATATTGACAAGAGGGTGATTGAGAACGGCAGGTGTGTCTGTGCGGTATCCATTTGTGTAGCACTTAATTGGATCGGGAATCGTGCACCGCTCTCCATCTCTGTCCCTGTCTCTCCCCCATGCTGCTGCTGGAACTAAATACTTGTGATTGCGTAATCACTGCAGACACTGACGGGCGGGGTGGGGGGAGGCGAACGAGAATCTGATTCTGTTGACTGGCCTGGCCTATGTGATTCGGTCGGGTTTTCATTTTTTGCTGGGGAGAGTCATCGCCAGCTGACCTTGACTCGGGAATGCATGCCCAGGATATCTCATTGCCCGGAGATTCCCCTCATGAGCACCTTGAATGGAATGCACGACGGAAAGGCTGTTTGGTTTTTTATCCGGGTTGGTGACGGAGAGGATGCCCTGGATCTGAAGACAGAGGGAACGGATTGCGACAGGGCAAACGAAGTAACACGGTTATGGTCATGGGTCGTGATTTGTGTGAAAAGACGCGTTTACCTGGAAGCTATGCAAAAATTTCTTAATTAAGGGCGTTACGAATTGCGAGGAAAAGGATTGCGGGTCGGAGGTCCTCACGAGCGCTCAGGGTGAAACCGGGCAGGACGCGGAAGTGGAGCGTATTCGACTCTGCGTGGGGCGCATTCGATTGTCCGGTAATAAGCTTCCGGTGGAGAGAATAGCTCGCACTGATCACGACTTTTCACTCTTGCATCCTATTTCTTATTTTCTCCGGGCAGTTCCGTGTCCCTCGGCCTTGAACTTGATGCGTGTGCGTGTCTCTGTCGGCCATTTTGCTCTCTTTTATCTATCGTCTTCTCCTTTGTATCCTTTCTCCATTGCGTGCCAAGTTCATGATCTGCTCGCTCATCTGTCTTCTCTCCAGTACCGCCCATCTCCCAGAGTGCTATCATTTTTTTCATTTCGCCTCTTCGCTACTTGGGTGGTATATTGGTACGCTTTTGATCTGGATCTCTTTTTCTGAGAGTGCTACGATTCATTTGATCAGACGTTATTCTGAGCTGTTGAGATACAGGAAGCACTTCAGGCAGATTGGCAATGTGCAATTGGCACATGCCACGGATTGATGAGTGGCCATTGCTCTGCTCCTTTCTGTGGAACGAGAGATATGACCGCTCTATGGGGAGACTTCGACGTGGATTTGCACGGCTCGTTCCCTACTTATGGGCAACAAAGAATGAAGAGAAATCCGTTTCGGAATATTGCGGATTAATTTTAAATTCGGGTTCGAGACGAACGAGGCATCTCAGAAGGGGGAATCTCAGAAAGGAGAAAGAGGTAGTTGGTCGACACGTGCAGGAAATAAGTGTAAAAATCGGGATAATTATGGATGAGACAGCAAGGGCGAAAAATACTTGATTTCCTGGGCGGATGAAATCGTTGCTGCCATGCCCTAGCCTCTGGGCCTTCGTGCACATAACCTTGCGTCGTCATCGTCTTCTTTCCACAGCACTTATCTTCGCTCACTTTAGAGGGGCCTCAAAGGGGGATGTGTTGGCGATTACGTGTCTGCCGGCCGGTCCGGCCGTGCCCATTTATGGATTATTATCGCCGCCTAGTCTGAACGCTCCCTAGAAAAAAAAAAACCCACGAAGGGTCTTTCCGGCCGACCTTCTGGGAATCGGTTCTTCCCGGATGTTCATCATCGGTATTTTTTTTTTACACGCTTATATCAAAGAAGAGTTACTCCCATCGATCCACGTGGACCTCCAGGGCCGTGACATCGGGATTGTTCATTCGAATCGGTTGGGGAGATGAAAAGAGACGAGGATAATCGTTTGGTCTGGTTCCCCGTTGTCGCCCACCTGTGAAAGCTGAGATTTTTCAGCTAGATTGTTTCGTCTTCATTGCTTCATTTTTTAGTTCGATGATTAGCGACATGTCCATGTGTAGTACAAAAGATAAGGAGTCACGACCAGAAGGAATGCTGTCAGAGAGATGATTTAACAATGGCCTGTGGATTCTTCGTGACTCTCCGTTCCTCTTCGGTATCCGGTCGGTGAACGAAAAGAAGATTTTATTACGACAGATTTCGTGTGCGACGATGCACAAAGGATGCATGTGATGTCGGTGTGTGGAGCAGGAGAAGAGTCCATCTAGCTGATCTTTGAGCATTCCAGGTTTCGAGACCTCTTCCATTATCCGCCTAACAAGTAATGCGGCAACAGCCCGCTGAGTGGCTTCTGCTGTTCCGTTTTGGACCCCTCCCGAGAATCAGGAATCCGCGGGGACCCATGAAAAAAGGTCCTTTTCTACGTCGTCTTCTTCTACGTCTTCGTGGGGGGGGGGGGGGGGGGGGGGGGGGGGGG